TAGAAGAACAAGTAGTTGTTAAAGAACTGGTGTTTCATATAAACTCTTTTCAGTCAAATATTTCAAAATGGAAGTGCAAAACTCATTTTTTAACATTGATATCTGTCATTACATTTTTTTCCACAGTTAAAATATATACAGTGCTCAAGATAGTTGACTGCCTAGTCTCTTTAGAAAATCATTATAGTTAATTAACACTTTGTGAATGAAAAAGTGTGTTGAGAATTTAATTTAGATTGAGGAAATGTGTTTTGAACAAAGCTGGGATTCACAGTCTAGATAAAGGGTTTTTTTTCATTTTTATGTTTAATTTTTCAAATGCAAAATTATAGAATGTGGCTTTTTAAAAAATAAGTGGAATTAAAGAAAACACACTTTTATAAGTAAAACTGATTCAGTAGTTGCAATATGAATGCAATAGATTTCTTAATTTCAGTGTATCTGTGATCCATATTTTTTTCCTATTTGAAGCAGTCTGTTCTTATGAGTGTGTCTGTATAAACATAGACACTTTTGAAAAATCTTGTGCACGTAAAAGGTAAAAATGCTTATTGAAGGCTTGATCAAGGTTTACAGTAGAAACAAAAGTACATGCAGTAAAATGTCAGGCATTTCTAAATTCCTGGCTGTAACTCTATATATTAAAAAGATATGCTGAATATACTTTAAATGAATATTTAGCTATTTATTCATTCAACTATTCAGATTTGGTTATACTTTTATAATTAAATTTTACTTGAAATTTTGTATTTATTGACAGGATATGCTCTTTAGACTGAATGGGACTGTGAATTGGGGAATATGGTATGATGTACTGTATGCCTTCTTAGTTTATTTATGTGCAGTTACAATTATTAGCGTGCATTGTTTTTTATGGTTATGTTCAGGATGAGGCTTGGCAGTAGAAAGGAAAGCTGTTTGCTCTGCATGCTGCAGTCTGGAGAGGGTGAACCTCTTGTAGGAGATGGAGATGATTCAGCCCAGAGAGCTGCTGAATACCTGTGGAGGGAGAGTCTCCTGTGGTGTAGGGTGAAACAGGTGGAAAGAGGGGGAAAGGAGGGTGAGACGGACAGCAGTGGATGGGGCAGAGGCTTCTTTACAGTTCCTCTTTAATTTCTACTCTCATTTTGAATTTTCTCTTTTTTAAGTTGATTCTTCTAATCTGTTCTAATAAAGCCTAGATGTAATGTTTAAAAGCCTTCTAGGTATTTGAGGTGTTTGATACAAGGAGTGGGTACAAATCCTCCTCAAAGCTATGACTAATTAAGAGTATCCTTACTCTGCAAATAACCCTTCTTTCAGGCTGTGAGAGAAAAGAAACCTTTTCATAGTACTTTCACAGTCCACAGCAAGATGGCAAAGAGTGCTTGCTCAGTATCAGCTGTTTCATTCGCACCTGACTTCATTTGCGCTATTGAATCATATACCTACCTTAGGCAATACTCTCTGCTGTGTTCAAATCATATTCACTCTAGGTAACTTCCCTGTACTCGAGCCATCTGTGTAGAGATGTGTAGTTCTGCTTTGTGCTTCCGCTCTATGGCCGTGATAGGTCTGATGAGTCTTCTGAGGTTTCTCTGGAAGTAAAACTTCATAATTTGTGTTTACTAGCACTAAGAAATGTGTTCTTTCTGAGTAGTTTAATGAAGATCTCGGTTTCCTATTTCGTAGGCCTGGCTTGGCATAAGTTAGAGGTCCTGTGGCATCTTTGAAGAATCAGGGCAAATTCAGTGTTCTAGCTGTCAGAACTCGTCCTGAATAAAACAAGCTGTATTGTTCAAGGCTGGCTGAGTACTGCAGGAGAGATAATGTCTGCTGTATAGGTTAATGTGGTGATTAATATAAATAGCTATTTTGTTTTTCGTGATTTGTTATTTCTACTATTTTGTAGGTAAATCCCAGGAAAAAAGGGGACATTTCTTCTAAATGGTTACAAACAGTGAAATTATAAGGCCTAGTTTAGATATCTGTTATCATTAGGAGTGGCTTCGCTGCACTCCTTGCTTGTGAAAAACAAGTTCATATATCCTTGGCTTTTATCAAGTAAATGAGAGTAGCCCAGCATTTGTAGAGCTGCTAACACTAGTGATCAGATATACAGCTAAAGGACACGTTTTCAACTTTAGAGTATAGTAGACAACGAGCAATCAAATAATGAAATAACTGAAGTATGTATATAACATAAATAAAAAGGGAAAACAGTTATTTTTTAAGATTAAATAACTTAAAAGATTTTTAAGCTGGTGTGCACAAAAGCTGTTCTGTCATGTGGTTGGGAGACAGAATTCCTTTGTCTATTCCCAGTTTTACCTTAGGTGATCTTAAGCACGTACAACTAACTGATGGTCTTCGGCTGACATTCTGCTTCTTTGTGAAGGCACAGTAAGAGGGTTGACTATTAGAGGATGACTGTGGCATTTTTAAACGATCATTTTCTCTTTATTCTGAGCAAATCAACAATACTTTGTCCTGAAGAGCTGTCTAAATTAGTGCATCTTGTGTGTAGTAGCCTGGGCAGTAGCCAGAACTCCCACGGGACTGCATGCTGTGGTGCTAGTCCACTGTACGTTTACAATTCTCTGCAAAGATTCCAGCAACAGAAGCATTTGTATTTCATGGGTCCCAAGCTGACCAGATCAGGGGATTTTAATATGTCTCTGCATTATTCCTAGCCTTTTAGGCACACTAATCATGATTATTAAAGGATTTCTTAATGCCTTTAACAGGCGTTAAACTCTACTTGCGACATGTCTTGTGCTGTCTTGCTCCCTTTAACTGTACTTCCACATGGCGATCATACTGTTAAATATGCAGATAGGGCATACTTTGACTGATTCAGTCAATGAGACTGTATTAATTATTTTCACGTAGTTATAGAAGTGTAGAGTAATAACAATAAATAAATGGTTATTTTATTATTTATTGATCTTTCACCTTCGTAAGCTTGCAGATAGCTGATCAAAACTCATTATCTAAGAAATCCGTTGGATCAACTTATTCTTATTTATTTGAATAATGGAACTGTGGTGGTTGATAATAGAGAAAGTGGACTTCTCTGTTTCCAAGGTAGTGGTAGTTCTTTTCACGTAGCTTCTTTATTTCTGTAGTTTCTTGCCGCACCCAGGGTAAAAAGCACCATTTTATTTAATTATTAAGACAATACAGTGGGCTGTGTTCATACTTCATTGACCAGTAAGCTTTTTTTCTCCTGCTAGCTCAGGCCTCTCATAGGATACAATAAAGAATGTATTTTTTCAGGAGATGTGCTGCTGCAGGAAAGGTGATTGTCAGCAATACGCAGTCTACTGAGTCCAACAGAAGGCTGATATAGCTTTTTCCTGCTTTGACTTAATCTTGCACTGTTGTTACATTTACTAATTTTTGTGTTTATGTACACTTTTTTTTTTATTTGTGACACTGATCACGTGGTGTTGGTAGTTAGTAGAATGTCATTAGGAGAGGACTTAAAATGGGGCCTAGAAATTAGGTAGGGCACAGAGTCAAAGATGACATGGGTATTACCATATTTTTACATATGCAAAATAATAAGCTGGACCGCTTACATCATGTTATATAAGGGACCTCCTTATTTCCTGTTATAAAGAAATACCAACATCTTTTGATCCCTTTAAGAACCACATTGGTCAAAGAGACAGAAGACGTAGTGTGCTAAGGCTGAAGATACCTGTCTCTGTGCAGCATGCTCAAACCTACCCCACCGACCTCAGGTTCCTAACTGACCATTACAAGGATTATTGATCTGCTATCACAATTTATATCCCTGAGGGCTTTGCCGATTCTGGACTGTCTGTTTCCAGTGAACGTTGCCCGCTGGAATTCTCCGTGGCCCCTCTTTGAGTTGCAGCAGAACTTCAAAAACAGTCATCATTAGTGACTGGGTTTTTTTCTCGTATTGTGGAGGTGGTGGAAAGCCGGCTCACACTGATAATTGCAATCTCCCAGAAAAGTTACTTTTCAGTAATTACTGCTGGTATGACCCAGCTAAGGCTCACTCCAGTTCCTCCAACTTTGGGAACACAGTAGGTTGGCTCAAAACCTATATCTTCCTACTTGTCCCAATCAATTTATGCTCCTTCCAGAAAAGGGTAAGCATGGTGTGAGGATGGCCTCTCTGCACCAAGGCCAGCTTTTGTTGGCCCTCAGGTGAGCGCTGTTAATGTTCAGTGACATAAATGGCATGAACAGGAGCTGCTTCGCAGACTTCATTCCTTTAATAGTCAAGAGATTTAAAGCAAAATTTGTAGAACAAATGACACTGGGAAGTGTCATCTTAAAGTCAATGCTAAACTGCTGCTTGTTTCTTTTGTATGAGAAATTTATATCATTTGCCACTTCTAAGACATTTTGTAAGTCTGGCAGTTTGGAAAGGATGTGCTTGGTAGGCAAATAATTTCTATTTAAAATTTCACTGTGCCACTTTAGCAGTGTTAATTTCTATAGCATCAGGCCTTCGTACTATATTATTTTATTGTAGAAACAGCTTTGGTATTTTTTTCAAAACTTGAAAAGCTAGTAATGCTAAAATGTGTCATAGTAATGTAGCTATGTAAACCATTTATACAACACAGTAAAATGTTTAACAGTAATCCTAAAACATTTAAATGCATTTTGAACAGAATATTGAATAATTATTTCAACATAAAAATTAAGGAACTGATAATGCTCCAGGTACAACTGATACAGTATTTTGTAATAATTACTTAAAGAATGACTAATTCAAGTTATGTATAATAGCTGCTCTGTGATAGAATCTGTTTCTTAATTTAGTTTTTCTTTCATTTTTTTCTTATTGCTTGAAGACATTATATAGTGACAAATACTTACACAGTGAAATGCATATGAATGGCTCTACCTTTAGATGATGCTATGCTTTTTAAATTGAAAGTAAACAGTAAATTTGTAGGTGCTCACATAACATTTTTATTAATATGTATGCACTTGAATCTGTTTGTTTTTTTTACATTCTGTTTTGCCCACAGACAGCCTTTTGATTGATTACCAGTTTACCTTCAGCTTATTACAAGAGGATGATCGCCATCATACTGCTATAAACTTCATAGCAAATCCAGAACAGGTAAGAAAAGGTGGTTAATTTTAGACAAGTTTTGGAGAGCCATGACCAAGATTTGCAATGTATTTTTGAGGTTTGTCAAGTGTCTGTAACGTATTAGAGCTGTTACAAATCTTCTTGGAAACATTGGAAAGTATTCCAGTGCATCCAGTGATAAAATCTACTTTTTCTTACCTTTCTAAATAGTATGTGTACCAACAAGTATCCCTAAAATATATCAGCTGGCTTGTTTTATTGTTGTTGCCAGGAATAATAAATTTTAGTAACTTCTGGAGATGAATTAAAGGAGAATAACCTTCAGTTACCAAATCTTTATTACCAGAATGAGAAAGATCATTTTCAAATTTTAATTAAAAAGTATCCTTATGCAGTGTATTTTTTAATTTTATAAAGAATCACAATCTGAAAAGATAGCTTGTACAGTTATATACTTATTTGTGCCCGGCCCTTAAGGAAGCAAAAGAGGGGTTTGCTTTTGGCTTCTGTAGACCAGAACATTCGTTTCTATTTATGTTTCAACTGAAAAAAGGAAGAAGATTAAAAGGCTGTGTTCGGTTATGTGCACTACAGCTATATTTAATACGTTATGATGTATTTTGTTAACTTTCCTTTATTTTTCCTTTTTTATCCAGTCAAATAAAAATTTGGATATATCAATTAATGCATCAAACAACTTTAACCTCAATATTACATGGTCTATTGGTTCTACGGGTAAGGTCACATTTTGGTGTGATGTCTTTCTTCCTATATGATCTTATGAGCCATCAAGCTATTTTAACATGACTGTCTCTTCATCGCTAATTTTGATAATAAAACTTTATAAAATGTATTCCTTTGCCATTATCATTATGCCATTATTAATTATATTATTTAAACCTCAGATGATAATTTGCAATCAGAACAAAGCTTCATTAATATGTTAACTTTCTCTCCTATTCAATTAAAATTACTTTGGTAGGAAAACCTTGTACTCTGTTTAAATTTTTAAAATGACAGCATTAAGAAATACTGTGATTTTAATTAAGATAAATTGCTTTCTTAACTACTGGAGAGACTGAGATTTTAATTTCTTTGTTTCAGTGTTCAAGCTAAAAATTTAATTATTAACCTTAACATTGATATCAAACAATGAAGTTCTTCTGTGTATGCTGATAAAAGGAGCTGCTTATCTATTTTTCTCCAACTTTGAACCCCATTACTCTTTTTGTTTTAATAAAAAGGAAGAAAAGCTTTATTTAGAAAGTTTCTCTGAATGGTTTCTGTTGACTTTCTGAAAATACATCCAAGGAGAAGCATGATGCTTAAAATGAAATTGTACTAAAAAAAAAGTACCTATTTTTTTTTAAATGGAGTCCTGCATAAACATCTATTTTAAGCATATTACCGTATCATTGCTAGCAAATTCTATTTATTTAAAATTAGCAATAAGTCATCAGTTCATTTGCAAAAATGATATATGTTTATTAGTTGTTATTCAAGCTTTCAAGAACAGTTGAAACACTATAGCAGTAATTTAAGATGTAGACAAATTAACTTTCCATGCTTTATTAACTTTTGATTTTTTACTGAAATGGAATCTAAATTACTACAGGAAACTGTATTAGCTGTTTAGCTAACTGGGATACATTTGCTATAAAAGTCCTGCGACTTCATCAATTTTATGATTTATTCATAATCTTTTGAAACCAGAGTAAGAGTTTTTGCAAAATCTCTATATGTACATGAAATGTACCTGATACACTATGGAAACCATAAGAAATTAATAATAAGGTTGTAGAATGAAGAACACAAAACTGATTTCAGAATCTAAGTTTCTCAGGCCTTTGTGACTATTAATAATAATTATAAATGTGTATATATTTATTTATATGTATGTGTATGTATATTTTTAGCTGGGACAATATCTGGAGAAGAGATTCCTGTTGTTTCTAAGACTAATATTAAGGAATACAGAGATAGCTTTTCCTGTGAAAAGTTTAACTTCCGGAGCAACCCAAACATCACTTTCTATGTTTATGTCAGCAATTTTTCCTGGCCAATTAAAATACAGGTTAGTAAGACCATTTAACCATTTTGTGCTCCTGAAAATGTTGACTTTTTAGCTGTATATTGAAATGAAAGTTTTCACTCATACAGTAAGTATGCAAATAACTATTATTTGTATGGTATATTTTCTGTGCATAAATGTTATATTATGACACTTATGTTTTTGTCAGTTGAGGTTATTGAACTCCTTTCTAGAATGAATCAGACTTTTGATCCTCAATTTTATATCTGAAGTTAGTTATTCAACATATATGTATACTCATATATTAAGTATATCTGTGTATAGACACAATGTAATTTTTTGTTAATCTTTAACTTTCTTAGTCTCTGATTTTCTTAAAGGTTGAATATCTGTATCATACTGCAGTTTAACAAACTTTGGAGCTAACACTGGGTGTATTTGGTTAGAATTTGTATTCTTCTTTGACTTCATTGGAATCAATTTCACTAAGTATTTTCTGGAATAGATGAGATAATGCACAGTGGCAGATTCAGCAAAATCAGTGCAGCGATGTATTATGTTTTTACCAGAAGGTTCTGTAATACTCATACCTGCTCATGGTATAGCTGCATTTGTAAGTACTGCGCATCCTTTGCCAATCAGGAGCACTTTATGTGGTTGAAAGGCTTTTGGCTATAGCTTTTTTAAAGAATTAATTTTTAAAAATTAAATTGTTAAAATAGCTTTCATATTCCCTTGTGATTTGTTCAGGAAGCCAGAGCAAGCTCAAAATCCTTTTTAGCACTCTACAGCCAGAAATCAAACAGGAACATGCTAACCATAATTACAAATATTCCACACATTTCCAAGTGGGGGGAAAAAAAACTTTTGATTGCAAAATATAGAGCCTGTTCCATATATTTATATATGAGAAGTTTGTCTGCTGAGGAGCCTCTTCATTCAAGATCCTAGATTAAAACAGTCATCTTCATTCTCCAGAGTAACCTGGCAGAGAAGTATTACCCATATGTTGTTTTAGGTAAAGCTAGCCTTTTCTTAGTCGTACATGAGTGTTATATATGAATACAAGTGTTACACAGTTTCCAAAGATGAATTTATGGAACTTGTTAACTTTTATGCATGTGTTATTTTATATAAAGCTTCTCAAGGTTAGCTGCTTTTTTCGCTCTTCACCTGAACAATATTTTTCCATCCACTAATCCCACTATCTTAGGAGAGGAAAATCTTCAATTGCCAAATGGGTCTTCCTAAACTACCCCTGAAGCAACTTAAGCTGTAAATGCATTACACACTGCTTTCTCCTTTCACCTTTTAGATCAGAAAATGCCTATATCTCAATAATATTTGTCTTACCATGATGATGTATTCCTGTGATGTGCAACTCTTGTCAGGTGTTTATAGTTTGCAACTCCTTACTGTACTGCTTCCAATGCAGCATAATACCTTAATGGAAAAAATTTTTAATGCTTGGTCACAGGAATCCTTGAACAATGATTAGATTCCTTTTAGATTTCTTTTTTTTTTAGTCACTCCTTTGATTCATTCTTTTCTGCCACAGTTGTGCAGATTTTTATATTTACTTTTGAAGTGTATGGAAATTCATCAGTCTAGGCTGTTGTTTCTCAGAGATGATGATGCTTGAGTATTCCTGTCCTGTATTGAGCTTTCCTGTCCTGTTAATTTCTCATAAAATCTTCTTCCATCTAGAAATGAAGTGTCTTCCTATTTTACATGCAAGAAAATGGAATGCGAAGGTCCAATTCTGGAAACAGAGTTTCAAGGTGGTAATCTTGTCTCCTGCATTTTCCTTCCCAAGTCCACAAGTTTACTATTTAGCTCTCAACTTTTTCATACAGCGATTCATTCTACTCCAAGCAAATACCTGAAATTCACATTACCCATATAAAGTTCTCCATTGGACACACTTACAATAGATAAGATCTTTGATAAATGATAAATGGAGTGGGGAGCTTTTCAGAGAACGCAAGTCTGTTTTTTACGCTAACTTTAAAAGGCCTTCCTGGGACTTAAAGAGAGGGAAGTTGCGGTTGGTCCCTATCCAGAGGCTGTAGTTTCCAAGGGTAGCCCTAAAGGGGCTCACAGTTCTAATGTCTATGATCTTGTACAAGTATGTATCTGAGAATACCGAATACCATATTTCATCTTCACAATATATAAAGATGGCTGAAATCAGTCTATTGTCTTATCAAAGAGCTTCCAGATAAAGGATGATGATCCTTACAAAATTCATGTTATTGTTAAGGTGATGAAAGGACTCTTCGGGAGATTCAAGCTACTGATGGCAGAGTGGTGTTCCGCTTCAGAGTGAGGAACTCTTTTAGATGGTCTCTGACCGTAATCTAGACTATTCTAAAATTAAATTTCCAGGATTAGCCACCTTTGCCTTTCTGTGGTGATTAGACAGCTCTATATTCTAATGCAAAGTTTTGGATGCCACAAGGAGCTGGCCTATGTATAAATGCTCAGACACTGAATTGTTTGCAGTGTAGTCCTTTCCAATACGGTAGTCACACTGTTGATCAGATAATGCTAATTAAAAAATAGCGATATTTTGTATCAACTTGCCCCTAGGAAATTACTGCAGCTTCCTTGGGAGGTATTCTGTTCTTAGGAATAAGTAAGATAGCAACACTGATTTAGATACATGCCTTTAAACAATGCTTTAGTAAAGGACTATATGTTCGTTTCAGCAGATGTCTTACATTATTCAAATACATTCTGAGTACTAATCTCGTATATTCATATTATTCATTGTGACTTATCAAGAATAGAATATATGATGAATGAGTTCCTGAGGAAGCAGAAATAGTTAGCTCACTACCCTTGTTACTGATATTTCAAGCTGTGTTCTTCGTATGTAGTTCACCACTCTCTTTTTATGCCTGCTGTTATGTTGGCACTAGAGCTAAGATTACTCATGTCTTTCACTGGGAAGTTTTGGGTTTGGGTGCTGCATTACCACTCTCTTTTCTATGGTAGAAGGATTTGCAGTTCTCATTATAGAAGACATCTCATTTTACTGTCAAAATCATCTAAATTATCTCTATTTTTGTATCTGATTGTCTTCAGCATTTTCATATGCACAAGAAAAAGCCTACATCCCAGCGAGTGATTGTTTATTTGGATCAATAGCTCACAGTTGCTTCCTCAAGTACTTTTATTATGCGTGCTTCCTATTTTGCAAGTTTGAATACTATTTTTACTAATCTTAGTAAATCCCAAGTGGTTCTTACACAACATACCCTCTTTTGAAATGCATCTTTCCTGACTTTGAAAAAAAGGATATGTGATGAGTGTGTCCATATGGCAACTTCCTGCAAACATGTAACTCTTCTTCAGCAACTACCCCGTGACCTGTCACTGGTGAGCTTAATGACCTCCCAGTATAAGTTGTTCAGCACTGGGTAGCACTGAATTGCTTACCAAACACAGAAAGTAGGAGGAATTTGTAATGATTTCAGGTGAAGTCCTGCTCTCTTCATAAAATCGTACTCTAGATTCACATTACTCAGTGCCCCTCTTGCAATCGTATTGGTTATATCAGGCACACAGCTGGGTGCTCAATCAGTAGGAGGTCTCTAGAACTCTCATGAGAAAATGTTATATTTAGATTTCCTGTTACTGAAAGCATTTTATTTAGCTACAAGATCTTTTCTGCTTTCATGTCAAAGGAGAAGTAGAGCAGGTCAGCGCGGACAGTATGACAGTGAAGTTTCACACCAACAAATAGGATGGAACCCACTTGCTTTGGTTTTGCAAGGAAGCAGTTGATTCTTTGTGATTCATGTTTTTTGAATGGCATTTACAACATGGCAATACACATAATCACATGGCTAAGACAGACAACGTCTAGAAGACTAAATAAGCGGAAATACAACATAATTGCAAGAGTGGAAATTAAAAAAGATGGTGCTATATGGCATCTTCAACTTACAGCAGTTTCTAGAAGCAGACCTGTTAACAGGTGTTTTCACAGAAGCGGGTAGTACCTGTAATCTGACACACACATATGTTGGAAATTTTTTGTTGAATTATGGGCAGAGTTGTGCTACGTTTTTTTTCTTCACTTGCTGTAATGCAGAAGTTGATTGGAAAGTAAGGATGAATACAGACAGCATAAGCTTAGCTGTCTCAGACTTCCATAGGTAAAAGTAGTTTATGCATCTTCCGTGGTTTTCAGAGGAAATCGGTGTAAGATATCTTTGTTATTACAGGACCTAGTGCCCAAGTAAGGAGAGGATTTGTCATCCAGGCTCACTGTTCCTACACTTGGCTGTCTAAGTTCTCGGACTAACAGATCTTTGACAGTCCCCACCTTTTAAATGTATTGTGTTTTATATCCCTGTTAAAAAGGATTCCGTCAGAAAATGCTTGAACAGGCTAGATTTCTGAATGGAATACATGGCAAAGCCCCATCACTTGTTTCTACTCATTTTTATTATATTTTGAGAGTAGTTGTAATTCAGACTTCACTGGTAATGGAATTTGAAGGCTGTAATATTTACTGAAAAGCAGTAACTCAACTGCAACCAGCACCTCAAATAACGGTCAGTGGTCCCTGAAGTAGTAAGTAATCATAAAGCCTGTGCTCCTGGCAGTTATGCAAATATTAGTAACAAAAGTAAAAACATGTTCTTCAGTCTCAGAAAACTAATTTTATAGCAAGGAATTTCTATCACTGAGGCGGTAACAGATGTTTTTCCTTCTTTCATCGTTTGCGACCATATTCTGCAAAGCAGCAAATGTGTATGTAGCACAAACAAATACCTTTAAAATGCTGTCTTGATTATCCATTTGATGTCCTCTGTCCCTAAGGAGAGCAATAACATTCCTGCCTCCTGATCAGCTGCCGTCATGCACCTATACCTCTTTATGCCTGTCAGACTTGTAAGTCTGATCTCAACTTGTGTCTCAGCAGCAAAATTTCCTCACAGTTTTAAAGCAGGACCTGTTGCCTTTGTGCAGGAAATATCATCACAGTTATAGTTCAGTAGTTTCCTACTTGCGCTGTCAGAGGTTGT